CCCGACGGCGAAACAGTTTATGTTATACCGTTCTTCGCCCGTTGAATTGGGGAAATGGTCTGAATCTCTGGAGCCGCGGATTGAAATGCTCCCAGCGCGACCCCAATCAGGGACACGTTCCTTACTGCATGGGCGCACTGCTTGGCGTTGCTGTTGTTTTCCTTGGAATTGCTTGGCATTGCTTGGCGCTGCTTGGCATTGCTTGGCGCTGCTGGGCGTTGCTGGGCACTGCTTGGAAGCAAAACCAAACAACCAGCGGGATGCAGTACACCCCCGCGTAGCGATCATAATACTTTACGCTGAGAAAATGGACTTCGCTCGAAGCGTCTTCTTAACCAGTGGTCCCGGTCCACATGCATGAAAACTCTACGGAGAAAAGAATCTCCAAGAAAACGCCCAGGGTCCAGTCCAGATTCTTGACTTCCTTGAGCGACGCCTGGGGTCCATGAAAGTTGACGCTTTCTCCTAGGACTTCTGATGGGTGTAAGCAAGCAGGACCTTGGGCAACGCCACAATAACGAAACAATCTCAAGCAACCCTGGGGAAGGCCACTGAAAAACAAAACCAAATAACCCCGAGGAACCTCACTGTCAGGAAACACGACACGTGAACCCCGCGGAAGGCCAGTGTAAAGACACAACAAGAAGGAACCCCGAGTAACGCCAAGCGACCCCCAGGAGCGCCACCGTACAGAGACAGTACCAAGGAACCCCGAGCAACACCACCGTAAAAGAACAGGACCAAGGAACCCCGAGCAACCCCTGCTGGCGCAGGCAGCGCGTCCACCGTGTGTGTGTGTGCCCGTTCGAAATTTATTCGCGATAACGCCCGTGACAGGCCCCGCCCCCCTCCTGATCACTTCAAGATTCGCAACGGCGTCGGGTTGGCATGAGCCTTTCCTAAGCGTTCCCAGACGGCGCCATCGCGAATCGTGACGTGACCGGCCCCCCCCGGGCCACGTCCGTTATCGAACTGGGATGAGACAGTAATTTCTGTGCACAAGCTAGCAAGAAACCCTTGGGCAAAACCCAATGATAAAGGGAAAAATACATCGGCCAGCAAAAGCCGGCGCAAGCTACCCGCCAGTGGATTACAAACAAATGCTCAGACATGTGATGTTCTGACTTTTTCACTGCGGGCTCTCCGAAGTTCCGACCTCTTCCCCAAGGCCAGATTTCCGTCCTGCATCGCTTTTGACGGTCCCAGGGCCTGGTAGGGGCCCCCCGAGGTCGAAAAGGTAGGAAAACCTTAGTCCTTTTTTTCCCAACCATCCTGTGGTGTTGGGTCCTCGTTTTGAAGCGACAGCGCCCCGCGTTCACTCCTCCTCCCGCTGCCCCCTCCCTCCTCCTCTTATCGTCATCATCCTCATCGTAATCATCGTCATCGCCATCGTCATCGTCATCGTCATCATCATCGTCATCACCATCATCATCATCATCATCATCATCATCATCATCATCATCATCATCATCATCATCATCATCATCATCATCATCATCATCAGCATCAGCATCAGCATCAGCAACATCATCATCGGTATCGTCATCACCATCATCATCATCATCGTCACCATCATCGTCGTCATCGTCGTCGTCATCATCGCCATCATCGCCATCATCGTCATCATCGCCATCGTCATCTCCTTGCCTCTGCCCTCCGCGTGTCTCTGTTTCGGCACACTGAGCACAGCGTTTCGCGACCCCATCGGGAGCTCCACCGAAGGCCCCAGTGGCAAGGTTCGCATGGCGGCCTCGGGCCATGTCGGTACACCCCTCACGAAGACTGCCCCCCTAGGAAGCGAAGCGAAGCGAGGCTAAGCGCCGGAGACGTGCGCGCTCCTCTCGGGAGCCCGCCCGTGCCCATTAGGGCATGGCGTGGAGGCCGTGGCCTCGATAATGTCAGCGCTGTACCTGCCCGTCGTTTTTCGGCGAGACGCGCCTGCCGAGAAACGGCTCACGTGACCTGGTCCATGACCTTGTGGAGCTCATTCGGCTTAGCCATCGTTCTGCCCTCGAAATGCCGGAACCATTCGGGTGCTCCCTTTCTCGTCTGCTCCCTCCCGTCCTCCGTGGCAGGGCTCTCCTTCTGGTCCTCCTCGTCGCCTTCCTCCTCCTCCGTGTAATTGCTCGCAGCCTCCGTATCCATGGACTTGTCCTCATTCGTCTCCTGTTCGTCCTCCTTCTTCTCCAACTTGGCGTCGCCTTCGGAACCGTTCGCGGTCAAGTCTGGGAACTCCGGAACAGGCGGGAGCTCCGCTGATGGCTTCTTGAGATTAAGTTGCGGCACAATCTTTATAACTTCTGCATCTAGCACCCGGAAATCTTGAAGCGACGTGCGGAGCAGCAACAATTCGATCTTGCCGATCCGGTCGGAGAGCTATTTACAAGCACTGGCTGTATGAATGTGTTCCTCCAGGTTGTCCTTCTCCATCTCCGCTTTCTCGATGAGAGTATCAATGTCGATGGTGTGCTTGCTGATTTTCCGGATCTGATCCTGAGTGCATGCTACGCCCTCCACGCGCTGTTGGGAAGTATTCAGGATGCGGTCGAGCTTTCAGTTCAGAGATCCTAATGCAGTTTCGATGGACTCGAGCCTCGTTTCCAGCAGTGCCATGTCTCTAGCGAGTGCTGCTCTCCCTCGGTGGCCAAGCGCTGGGAAGCCACATAGGGAGCTCCACCGAGGGCCCCAGCGGCTGCGATCGCATGCGGCACCGCGCCCGTTTCGGCACACTCTTCACGAGGATCGGGGCCCCATAGGAGCTCCACCGAAGGCCCCAGTGGTAGGGTTCGCATGGTGGCCTCGTGCCATTTCGACACACCCCTCACAAGGATCGTGGCCCCATAGGGAGCTCCACCGAAGGCGCCACTGGCAGGGTTCGCATGGTGGCCTCGTGCCATTTCGGCACACCCCTCACGAGGATCGTGGCCCCATAGGGAGCTCCACCGAAGGCGCCAGTAGCAAGGCTCGCACTGGTTGCGCCAGGTACGTAGTGCATCTGTGCTGGGAGTTGTCGTGGGGCCGCCATGCGAGACGCGGAGCGCGGCGTGCCACCTCCCCCTGCGCGAGGGAGAGCAGGCCCGCCCTCCCCGTCCCCTCCGCTCGCGCGAGGATCCCCAGGGGCTGGCTCCTCTGAGGGAGGCTGAGCACGCGCAGGTTTCTGTTGCCAGCAGATTGCCCAGCACCGCTGTCGAACTTCCCTTCCTGTGCGGGAGGACGGGGCTTCCCGTCATCATGGAGCACCCTGCCACTAGCACCTCTGTTGCAGAAGCTCCTGGCGGTTGGCTCCTCCCCCCCCTCGCTTTGCCCTCCAGAGGACGGAGGGGGTTTCTCTGCATCCCACCGATCAGTGCTCTTTCGGGCCCCGCTCGCTGAAGCCTTCAGGCCTCCTGAATGTGCGCTGCGGTGCTCTCAGGAGGTGCATCGCTCTTGCTCCCGGTGGGGTGCAATGCGTCAGGGGTCACCGCCACTTCTCTCTGCGTGGCACGAGGGCAGGTGGTGTACTGCTCAGTCTAAAGCTTACCCGCCTCCCTTTTGCCTGGCCGTCGCTCGGACGTTCATTTCCTGTGTTTTTTTCGGTTTCGTGCGTGATTTTTTTGGATGCTCCTCGATGGTCCTCGCCGAAGGAAAATTGCACACGTCCAAGCGATGCCAAGGTCTAAAGCTTGCCCTCCTCCCCTTTGCATGCTCCTCGCTGGGGCCCTCGCCCCGGAGGCGCTCAACGCGTCTCCTCGCTCTGCCGCCAGGTGCTGGGAGGTCGACTAGAACGATGCCGGCACGACACTGTTGCAGTTCTTGAAGGGGCCCAAGGACACACACATAAATACGCACAAATAAAACAATCCCCACATTTTCCCATATTTTCGGGGTTTCTGTCTCCCCCCCCACTTCCCATATTTCCCTATATTTTCTGGGGAATCGAGGATTAATTGTGTCTGTGTTTCTTTTCCTCCTGAGTTTCTCTGTCCGTTTGGCCCCCGTGCTCCCCCAGGTGGTGGGCCAGGACTGTACGCTCCATGGCGACAAGTCCGGAGGGGGATGGACCTTTCGGTGGACGCTGCCCCTTGGGCCCCTGTCTCGTCTGTCGGACCCCCCCATTCCCCGCCCCCCGTCCGTCCTGCTGCTGCTTCCTTGTCTCCTCTTCCGATCTCTTGGGTGCTCGCACGCGGCCGCGCGCGCGTGGGCCTAATCGACCTGGAGCTGGATGAGGCTATGCCCTCGTCTCCTCTTCTGTCTCTCTCTGTTCCTGCGCGGGTATAACCTTTCCGATCCTTGTGAGCCGAGCGACCGAGCGACCGAGCGACCGAGCGACCGAGGAGGAGGAGGAGGAGGAGGCGGAGGAGGCGGAGGAGGCGGAGGAGGAGGAGGAGGAGGAGGAGGAGGAGGAGGAGGAGGAGGAGGAGGAGGAGGAGGAGGAGGAGGTGCAGTGCGTGCACGTCGCCCTTCGAAGGTTCTCCCTCTTCGGCGCCCCGCCTGTCGCCCTCCGCCCGCTCGGAGGAGGGCTTCGGACTCCCTCCCGCTTGGACGGACCACCATCACTGAAGGGGAACTGGGACACACAAATAACTACACAAAATTAACCAGATTCCCCATATTTTCCAGTATGTTCTGGGTTTTTGTCTTCCCCCCCACTTCCCATATTTTCCCATATTTTCTGGGGAGTCGACGATTAATTGTGTCTGTGTGTTTCTTCCCATCCTAAATCACCAGCCCATAAAGAGCTCAGAACACAAATGATAATGTGGTCAACAGCAGTGTGTTGGCACGACTGTGGGTCTTCAAGCGGTTCTCTTCAATAGGACGCTGCCCGCGATGAAGACAACTGGTTGGAGGGGCCTGTAAAGGCGAAGCTTGGCAGGAGGGCTTATCAAAACATCGTTGGTGCGTTTTGGGTTTGTAAGGGTCCTCCTCTTCCTCTTCCTCCTCCTCCTCCTCCTCCTCCTTCTCTAGGCGTTGCTGAGACTTGGAGGCGAGAATCTCCTCATCCCGAGGTCATCTTCCACCTCGACTGGAAGTCACTCGTCGAGATAGAACATCCAGTCCGCCACACTTTCTCGAACTACCTGCGCACCAATATAACAACTGTTAATCATGGTGGGGAGAAATGCAAGAGGAAAAGACACGTGATATAGGTGGAGAACGAGGGACATGTAAAGAGAAACTGGTGAAAGTGATGGGACGGGAACGAGAGATAATCGAACTAACTACCTCTTCAAAACAAACGTGACTGTCCGATGGGACATGGGTTGGCTGCAAACTAGATCAATCCGCCGGATGTATGGCATCGGCACAACGTACGAGGCTGCGGGATGTGGCGGTTGGTGGTGATGATGGGCGCGGTTGGAGGTGGCGGAGATGATAACGAGAGTGATGATGATAATGACGATGACGATGATCACGACGATAATGATGTTGCTCTGGGTGCGTCTGGGCCAGCCGGGCCGATTTTGGCATGTATATTGTCCATTGCCCACAGACGACCTTGGGCCCAGCTTCGACTCCCACATCTCGCTACACAACGCTAGAACCTGCTGCCACTGCTCGCCCTTCTCTCACGAGCTGGTCGCAGCGCTGTAGCTGGAGAGACGGGAGGCTGCGCAGGTGGTGCAACAGAGCCTATCCAGAGGCAGACCGCTTCCCAACGGGGTCATCGCGAGAGGGGGGACGGATAACCCCTTGGGCCTCTTGACCGAGCACAGGAGGTCGCGCGAGGGCGGGGGGCGGGAAGGGGAAGGGGGTGAGCACACCCCTGCACGGCGGAGCCCCAGCCTTGCCGTCGCTCGGACGATCTCCCGTGCATGCTTCGGCTTCGGGCGTTTTCGCTTTGATCGATGGTCCAGGATGCTCCTCCAGGGTCCTCGATGCACGCGTCCGAGCGAGGCCAGGCAGCACAGGGAAGAGCCCTACCAGGACGCCGCTGCGGCCACGACGGGGTTGGCACCCGCCGTGGCGGACGGGCAGCCCCCCGCCCCCCCATCGGGCGCGGCCGGGGCTCCGCACGTCGTGCGGTCGAGGCCGCGTGCGACCGAGGGCTTGCGACACGGCCCGGTGGACCCCTTCCGCGTCTGGGGTGCAAGCCCGCATCGCCCCGACTTGCTTAACATTCCCGCATCGCCCCGACTTGCTTCACATTCTCCTTGCCCTTACGTGTGAGCCCCGTGCATTCAGATGCCAACTGCCTTCCATCCGCGGTGGCGCACTTGCCGCACCTGGCGCACCGACCCAGGAGGAGTCGATCCCATCTCTGAGCCATCTGCGGTGGGAAGACACCCCGACCTGCTGCCAGCACTGGTCTGCCCGTGGCCCCCGTAACCTCTTCACCTGATGATGGGGGGGAGTCAGGGGGCCTCAGCAAATCGAAGCCGCAACATGGACAACTCTGGAAGCTGGCACAACAATCTTGCACTCCCCGCGCTGCCACTTGCCACCCGCCCTGATCCAGCGATGGCGGGAGGCAGCCGCGGCGACTCTGAGCCTGGACGGGGCTGGTCCTCTGACCTTGACGGCACGCTCTCCGCTCCATGGGCCAGCCCCAGCAGCCACGGCCATCGCTCGTCGTGCACGGGCGCGGGCCACGGTGCAAACAGCCTCCCAATGATCCGACCTTGGTTCTCCTCCCCCACGCGCAGCACGCCACGCCTCCACATCAGCCAAGGCGTTGCACTGCATCAGAGTGGGGGTCAGGTGGAGGCCGACTCGGAGCCTAGAGCAGACGTCCTGGTTCGCACCGTTCTCAATCCAATGGCGGCCCCTGGTTCAAGCTTTGACCATCCGCCCGTGGTCAGTAACGAAAAGCTCTTGCGCATCATTCCTGACAGCCCAACACCCCTCGTGCCCATGATACTGCACGATAACGATGGCAGCCCCGCAGCTCCTCCTACGCGGTCTGCAGTGTGAAGTCCTCCCGACCAGTCGTCCAACACCACCACCCTACACTAGAATTATGGGGGGTGGACATGGGGGTGGGCCCAAATTCGCGAACGTCGTCTGCGGGACATTCTGCGGAGGGAGGGAGGGAGCGAAGGAGGGAGGGAAGGGAGGAGGGGAGGGAGGGAGGATGAGGAGGGCAACGTCAGGAAACTTTACTGCCATCAGTGCCTCAATGCCTCAGTGCCCCAGGAAGAGGAGGCGGAGGAGGAGGAGAAGGAGGAGAAAGAGGAGAAGGAGGAGGAGGAGGAGAAGGAGGAGGAGGAGGAGGAGGAGGAGGATGAGAGGGAGCAAGAGAACATGGAGGATCAGGAGGAGGAGGGAAGGAGGGAGGGAGGGAGCGAGGGACGAGGAGGAGGGAGGAGGGAGGAGGAGGAGGAGGAGGAGGAGGCACCTCGCCCCACGTCGGCGCCGCGGTTGTTCGCATGCAGCTCCCGAGCTTGCTGCCGTCCCCGCAGCACCAGCCGACGGGGGCCAAGCAGCCCGAGGCCACCTTGGGACTCGGAGGGCAGGAGCCGAACAACTGTACGAATCCACCTCCTCCTCCGCCCGCTTCAACAACCCGCCTGCTCGACTTGGCCGAATGGGCCCGCATTCCCGACCCGCCCGTTAGGGTCTACCCGCCCGATCTGCCCGTCTGGTTCTGCCACGTGTTTTCTGCTCATAGCCCCCTCTCCTCCTGTTTTCTGTCGTGTTCCATCCTCCTCCCTCCCTATTGTCCCTTCCTTCCGTCCGTCCACTCTTCCCCTGCCTTGGGGCTGCACGAAGTACACGTTGCAAGGAAGAAAGATATATAACCCCAAGGGGGTACGATCGAAAACGAACAGGGCGGGTATCGAGGGTTTGTGGTATACGTGTTGAATGCCCCCCGAACAGATAATAACGACACATCTTACATGTTTTGTTGATACCGTTGCTGTTGCTATTGCTGTTGCTGCTACGGTTGTTGTTACTGCTGCTGCTGTTGTTGCTGCTGTTGTTGTTGTTGCTGTTGTTGTTGTTGATCAACACTCATTGCTGAAGAATAATTATTGTTGACACCCCCTTCCTGTGCACAATGCATTTTTTCAATTGAAGTGCCCCTCCCGGCGCTCGCACCCTGTTTTTTACAAAGGAAAGTCTTGAGGCCAAAACTGTGTTGTTGGCCCCCGGGTTACAGTAACAACGGCTCCCGCCTGAGAATTCCTCACAATTTAGACTTCCTCGCATTTTATTCAGGAATCGGGCTCTCGCTGGGGACTCCCTTACTATTTATTCAGGAATCGCTCTCTCGGCGCTCGGGAATCGCGCTCTCGTTGGAGACTTGCTTGCAATTTACTCAAGAATAGCGCCCTTGCGTTGGAATGTCTTGCGTTTTACTCAAGCGCCGCGCTCCCAACACTCAGGCACCCAGGAGTCGCGCTCACGCGTAGAACTCCATAACATATTACTTAGGAATCGGGATGTCGCTGCCCTTCGTGGCCCCGTTGCAGCCTTTCGGGTCCCGTTGCAGCCCTTCGTGGCCCCCTCGCTGGCCGTCGTAGCCCCGTTGCAGCCCTGCGTGGCCCCCTCGCTGCCCTTCGTGGCCCCGGCCCGTTGCGCCCCTTCGTAGCCCCCTCGCTGCCCTTCGTGGCCCCGTGGCACCCCTTCGTAGCCCCCTCGCTGCCCTTCGTGGCCCCGTTGCAGCCCTTCGTGGCCCCCTCGCTGCCCTCCGTGTCCCCGTTGCAGCCCTTCGTGGCCCCCTCGCTGCCCTTCGCCCCTTCGCCGCCCTTCGTGGCCCCGTTGCAGCCCGTCGTGGCCCCCTCGCAGCCCTTCGTGGCCCCATGTATGTATGCCTTTCGTGGCCGCCGCTCGTTCGCGCCCGTCGTGGCCCCATATGCGTGCCCTTCGTGGCCCCGCTGTCGCTGTTCGTGGTCCCCTCGCTGCCCATTGTGGCCCCGTTGCTGTCCTCAGTGGCACCGTCCTTGCCCTCCGCGGCCCAATATATGTGTGCCCTTCGTGGCCCCCGCTCGTTCGCGCCCGCCGTGGCCCTATCTGCATGCCCTTCGTGGCCCCGCTGTCGCCCTTTGTGGCCCCTTCGCTGTCCTTCGTGGCCCAGCTGCTGCCCTCAGTGGCCCCGTCGTTGCCTTCTATGGCCCCGCATTATTTGCCCTTCGTGGCCCCCGCTCGTCCGCGCTCTTGGTGGCCCCGTACGCATTCCCTTCGTGTCCCCGCTGTCGCCCTTCGTGGCCTACTTCGTGCCCTTCGTGGCCCTGCTGTCGTTCTCTCTCTCGCTCTCGCTTTCGCTCGTCGTCGTCGTCGTCGCCGTGGGCGATCCCCTGTCCGTCCCTCTTGGGGTCGGGTTGCCGCCGATCAGCGGTGCCACTGGCCAGGCCGACGGTCCGTGGCCGCCCCGCCGCTTGCCGGGTACCGGCCTGCAGGGAAAAAGTATACCCCCCAAAGGGGGCACGATCGAAGACGAAGAGGGCGGGTATCGAGGGTTTGGGAAATACGCGTTAACGGACACTCGAGCAGATAAGAACGAACAGTCCTCAAATGTTTTTTTTTGTTTGTTTTTTGTTTTTGTTGTTGTTGTTGTTGTTGCTGTTGCTGTTGTTGTTGTTGTTGTTGTTGTTGTTGTTGTTGTTGTTGTTGTTGTTGTTGTTGTTGTTATTGTTGTTGTTGTTGTTGTTGTTGTTGTTGTTGTTGTTGTTGTTGTTGTTGTTGTTGTTGTTGTTGTTGTGTGTGGGGGCGAGGCGAGGCGAGGCGCCGGTCAGCCGTCCCTGGGGACGGCCCTGCGAGAGCCCGGCGGTGGCGCCGGAGCACAAAAACAAAGTGCCAAGCGAGGGGGAAGGAGGGATGAGGGGGGGGACTCAGGCCGTAATGTGGGAGTTTCGCGCGCAGTCCCCAAGATTAACATCAGTCAGAAATTTCGACTCCAATGCCGACCGCGCTTCCTTGTCCGTTGCAACGTCGTCGTGCCGTCGTCGTCCTTATCCGTTGCAACGTCCTTGGTCGTCGCCGTCGTCGTGCGTAGTGACACTGCGTAGGAATCGTGTGATATCGGCTTCTTACGTTGTCCTCCGTGGCGTCGCTGGGTTGGGCGTGGGTCGTGGTTGCTCAGGGCCCAGTGAATTAAGAGCCGCGTGCATGTGTCGTAGTCGTCAGTTGCGACTCGCGATGCCCGCCGCCGCTTCCGTTTTGAAATTTACCGCAGGCCAGTCCTCAACACCTGCACGCTTAGCATGCTCCAGGGCTGCGTGCGTCGATCTTCGTAGGACATTTTCCCACGGTTCCATCGTGTCTTCTTCTCTGCCTTCGGCTCTGTTGTGGTGGGCGGGGGTGTCTGCTGCGTCGGTGCCAGCCGCTTCATCGGTGTCGTCGTCGCGGGCGTGGTTTTGTGTATTGCGACGTCATGGCGTACCCGTTACAAGCCTGAGCATTTTCCGCTTGGCACGCCACAAATAGAGGAGCATCTCGTTGGTGAGGGTCCAATCTGTCGTCCCCTTTCCCCGCGCTCACTCTTTCCCTGGGCCCGTCGCCAGTCCCCCTCCTTTCCATGGGCCCTCCTCCTCTAGCGCTGGGCCCGTCGCCGCTCCCCCCCTTCCCTAGGCCCTCCTCTTCAAGAGCGCCAGCCACAGCAAAATTGAGCGACGTCGCAATTGACTCGAAAGGAAGCCTTTCCCTTTGATCCCTCCCCCGACGGGAGGGGGGGGGTCCCGGGTCAGATGCGGGTCCCCCCCAGGGGGTCCCGGGGCCTAGAAAAGCCCGAAGACGGGCCAAGCGTGCCCCAAGAGGCCCCCAAGACGGTCCAAGAGGACCCTCCGAGAGGCCCCCAAGAGGCCCCCAAGAAGAGGTCCCCACGAGGCTCCCAAGAGGCCCTTAAACTGTCCCCCGGAGGCTCCCGAGAGCGCTTCGAAGAGACCTCGAGAAGCATCCATGAGGACTCTGACCCACGTCAGCGTCGCCGTCGTCGCCGCCGCCGCCGCCGCCGTTGTCGTCGTTCCCCTTCAGGGTCGGCGGCGCCGGCCGTAAGGCTTTCGCAATCGGTGAATGGCCCCCATCTTGCGGCAATCCTACTGCGCCGTGAAAGGAATGAAAAAAGAGCTTTCTTCCTGAATGCTTCGTGCTCTGGTCGGATCACAATAATTCGATGTTTTTCACCGCTGATGTCGACATGGGCAAGTGTGTTTCGTTCTTTCTGGCTGACGTTCGTCAAGATCTTGGGTTTATCAGGGTGCAGTGCCAATCCACATGCCATGGCTTGAGATCTTACGTCTCGGAACGCGCAAGCAATTTGTTACGTAGATGTGTGATCCGTGTTAGCGGTGCGAAGCCGAGTTCGATCTCAAATTGCTTGCACTGCCCCTCAGGTTTCACCTGTCAGACCACATGCTTGAGGACAGCGGTGAACAAGAAAGAGCTCAGTGGGTCTCCCTGTTTGCACCACGCCCGATGCTGAAAGCCCTGCTGGTGGTGTCTGTCCTGACTGTTGCCGTTTGAGTGCAATACAGTTGCTTGAAGAAGTTCATGTATGCAGGGGCATGTGTTGCTGTCGTAAGGTTTCCCATCGTCGTTCGTGCTCTGGGCAGTCGAACGCCTTCTTGAAGTCGACTGCTGCTGCTCATCGGGGCAGCTGCCACTCGTGAGAACTCTTATGTAGCATCGCTGTGGTGAACAAGTGGTCTTCTGTGCAGCAGTTATTGCGGAAGCCTGCTTGGTCAGGGCACTGTTGCGAGTCGAGCAGAAAAATCAGGCGGTCAGAAAGAAGGCGAGACATCAACCTGTATAGCAATGGGATAATGGCAATTGAACTGTAGCTGCCTGGGGATTGTGGGTCTCCAGATTTGTACCATACGGTGATGGTGGCGCTCTTCCATTGGTCAGGTGCGGTCTGATTAGATTTGATGATGTCGTTGCAGTCGGAGCAGGTGGTGTTGGATGGTCGCGCCCACAGCTTTGAAGATTTCTGCTGTGAGTCCAGCGGTGTTTAATACTTGCCGTTCTCGAATTGTTTGATTGCTTGGTGGAGCTCGTTTGCGGTGAACGGTGGAATCATTGAATCCTTTTGAATCGTAGTCAGCGTGTCGTGCATGCTGCCTGAACGGTGCGGGTTCTCGTGCAGCTCTTCGTAGAAATTTGCAGATACGTCTGCTATGATTTGCCTGTGCGTCTTCTCAATGCCATCAGGTGTCTTCATTGATGCGGCTGACCCTTTGTGCTTTGTCGTCTTCAAAACAGCAATTTTCTTTAGGCCTGTAAAAAGGCAGGCGATGGTTTCGAGCTTGGTGTTCATCTCGGTGCGTTTGATGGCCCTTGTCAGCCACATGATTTGCTTGCTGAGGGATCTTCTCGTAGCTGTGCCTCTAAGTAAAGTAGCACGTCGTTGTTGGATGAATGCGTTGAGCCGTCCTGTCGGACCGTCGTTGGGGGTATCTGGAGGGCCTCTGGTGATTTTTTCGTGGTGCTTTTAGTGATCCTTGTTTGCAAGCTTGAGCCCTTCTCCGATATTGCGGCGTCTGCTGTCCAGGTCGGC